AACTCACGCAATCTAGGTGTAGCAGCAGTATTATTAGTAGCATTATCGAAACCAATAGCAAACACCTTATCAATCAAATTATACTCAATTAAAATACGCTCAATCAAAATATAAATATGTTCAGCGGTGTGACGATCATTAAATTCACGAAAAGCAAGAACACGTTTATGCATATTCCAATCCTCATCAATATAATGTGCAGTCAGACCCAAATAATATAAATGATGAAAATCATCCTCCCATATGTCAGAACAAATAGTAACACGCCCATCAAAGTTTACAAAAAAAAATTTGTAACCTTTCCTTTTCCGCATTATAAAGCCTTATTATTTCTTTCTTAACAGTTTTGCGACTATAATTTCTAAATTGAGGATTTAAACTACCTTGTGCATAATCTCTTAAAGCAAGACATTCAGAAAACAAATAAGGCAAATTTTCTTCACAAATTAAGTTAGCCATACCAGTCAAATTTTGTGCATCATTGTAGGAGAAATTACCAAAAGGTTGAGAATTCGCAAACCTCGATATTTGAGTTTGCTTCCCCGTTCCGCCGCCTAATTTTGCATACTCCACGGGGTGCTTTGCCTTAAGATGCCTTGCGGCGGATCCGTATCCGCCGGAGGTTCCCAAACTATAATTGTTGTTGCACCACTTGCAAGTTGCGTGCCAATAGCCGGTTTGTGGGTCCTTCCATTTATCAAAATTATTTTTCATTAGTTCAGACTTACTTTTTTTATTACCGGTGGCGGTTTGGGATGAGGCAGGCTCGTCGGCGTCGTGGCTGCCGGCACCCTCCTCCTCGGCCGTCTCCGGTTCCAATTCCTCCGCATCTTCATCCTCAAGCTCCTCTTCGTCAATGGTCGTCGGCATTTGTTGTTGTTGTAGAAAGCGGTTATTATGTCGGGCCAATTCTTGTTGGAGTTGTTCTTCGGACATCGCATCTCCATCTCGCCTTTGGTAACCCGTTTCAAAATCATCTCGGCTTTGAGATGAAGAGCCAGCAAGTTCTTTACCTTTGCGGGATTTCTTCCTCCCAATCTCGTTCCTTCGATTGCGTTGGAGGTTACCCAAATCAACCGAATATCTACCACCTTCCATCTTAAAAATGTAACAAATATTAATTGACAACCAATATAATAATGGATACAAAACTAATGCAACTAATTAAAACTATTTTAATTAATACTTCAAACTAATTTAGTGCAAAGTAGAATTAATACTTCAAACTAATTTAGTGCAAAGTAGAATTAATGTGTGACTTTAAAATTAAAATTATACCAACTTTTGAAGTACTTTAATTTAGTAAAAACTACTTAAATAAAATGTTAAGTACTTTAATTAAATGATTGAACTACTATTTCTTCCTACAAATATAAATTGAAAATAAGAAAATGTGACTTTAACTATAATGAATTAATGACAATTAACTAGTTTATTGAAGTAGAGTTGTTTTAACAATTAATGAGAATACTAATGAAGTAAATACTACGTAACTAGTATAATGAAAAATGTAACAACAATGCTAATTAACTAATTAACTAGTATAATGACAAATGTAACAACAATGCTAATAAACTAATTAACTAGTATAATGAAAAATGTAACAATAATGGTAATGAACTAATTAACTATTATAATGATAAATGTAACAAGAATGCTAATTAACTAATTAACTAGTACAATACTAGTTATAGTAAGTAATATATAATATAATGTTTATAGTATATACTACCTCCGTCCCAGGGAGAAGTTCCCAATTTTCTTTTTTGGCAGTCCCAACAAAAAGTTCCCATTTCCTTAAATGGAAAGTTATCCTACATAAAAACAGTGTCAAACAGTGCAAAACAGTGCCAAACAGTGTCGAAACAATGCCAAACAGTAAAATTTACCCCTCGGTAACTTTATTTTCTTAATATGTGTGAAAGTCAACCCGGGAACTTCTCCCTGGGACGGAGGGAGTAATATATAAGTATACTACTATAAGATGAGTAATACACTTATATTTTATACTTTAATATATAAAGTATATATTAAGTAGATGTAGAATGTATGTATTAAGTGGATATAATAATTGTATAAGAATTAAATATTAGAGTATAATGGAGAATTGGAGATTGGAAAATAAGAAAATAAGTATATATAAAATAGATATTATAAAGTATATATAAAAGTAGATATTATAAAATAAGTATATATAAAATAGATATTATTAAGTAGAGAAGTAGATATTATTATGTATTAAGTATATAGTAATAGTTTATAAAGTATATTTAATACTTTATTATATAAAGTATATATTAAGTAGATGTAGTATGTATGTATGTATGTATGTATGTATGTATGTATGTATGTATGTATGTATTAAGAAATATAAGTAGAGATTAAGTAGATAAGAAATATAAGTAATATAGTATATGTATTTATAAGTAGATAATTAATATATAAGTAGATATAATAATTGTATAAGTATTAAATAGTAAAATAAAATATAAAGGAGAATAAGAGAATTTGAGAAGATGAATATGGAGAATTGGAGATGAGTAGAGAGTACGATTTAGGGAGAGTTGGAGAAGAGGTGTGAAAAAATGTTTAAAATTAGGAGTATTTATAGGTTTTTTTTAACCCCACCCCCACCCCACCCCCCCAAACGCCCCGGACCCCCCCCTGGTACCCCCCCAACGGCTATATAGCCGTTTGAGAAGTGGCTGTTGAGCCAAAGTGTTTTTTTTTAAATTAAAAGAACTTTTTTTTAAAAAAAATGACCGTTAGGCCCGGGCCGGGCACCAAAAACAGAACCCGAGCCCGGACCCCCTTCTCCCACCGGTTCGGTGCCCGAACCGGACCCGGGAACCGGGCCGGTTCCGGGCCCGTACAATGACGGGCCGGGCCGGGCCCGGGCCGGGCCCGGACCGGGCGGCCCGAACCAGGTCCACCACTGGTTAAGTGGTTAGATAGTCATATCCAACCAAAAAAAGTCATATCCATCATATGATCAAGGAATTTATCGAGTACCATAAATTAAATTCCTTTGGTAGATAAATTACAAGCCTAAAATGTATCTGGTTTTGTAACAATCCGAGTAGAAACATTACGGCAGTTTAAAATAAAAACATTACGGCAGTTTAAAATAAAGAGGAGATTTTTATTAGGTGGGACCAATTATTCAATTCAATCTCTTGGCTCTGCGTGAATCTTGCTTTGATCGTACTCCATATATGTCTAAGCCGCCACTTGAAGTGGCGGTTTTGTTAAGTCTACTTCAACACAATTTTGGGAATTACTTTTAATCTAACAATATTTTGAAAATTATTTATTTAATTAGCATTATTTTGGGAAAAAACTTTGTAACATACTGGTATTCATCTACTTCAAAAAATAGGGTGTCACAAAAACAAGGCAACATTTATTACGAAATAGAAAAACTAATATCTACTATGGAAACAAGCTCACCAAAATTGCTATACAACCTTTTCCAAAACAAGGGAAACACATGCTGAACTCCATTTTATTTTATTTTATTTTCGAAATTCACCACACCAATATTACTTGTATATATAGCCTCATACACTTCTATATCCTTAGAGATAGTGATGGGCAATTGTGCGAACACCCTCTCTTGCAACTCACAAAAGTCTAATACTTCGTATATTGTTGCAAATTCCCATGCAAAAATACGGGATTTGAAAGCCTTGTGTCTGAATAAAATAGGGTTAGGAAAAAATTAAAAACGAAATAACTGGGTAGTTAGTTATAAAATAAAATTCCATTTTTCTCTAATTCTGTAATATTTTTATTTGTGCTCTAATTCTTATAACAAAAATACTATTTTAATATGACACCTATATTACATGTGTAGAGTTAAAAAAAATGAAGTTTGAACTATTAGAGCTTTTCAAATCAATTTTTTAAATAAATTGAAATGCTAAAATTAAGATCTCATTATTAAATTATTCAGATCTTAATTTTAGCATTTAGATATATTTGTGAGAATTATAGATCTAGAAACCCTCATTCAATTGAAACTTTAATTTTTTTAAGACTTTACATTTGTATTATTGATGTCATATAAAAAATAATAATAAATTATAAATTTTGATATATTTTCCTTATAAGAATTGGAATACAAATAAGAAATTACAACACTTCAAAAACTGGAATTTTATTTTTTTTTATCTAACCCGCACCTTACCTTCCTAACCAACTACCCTGCCCCTTAATCGGAAATGGGGCTTCCCAATGAGTCAAACTAGATAAAAAAGTCTCACATGCCTAATTCATTCCGAATGTCTCTTTCCTATCACCATTATTTTGGAAATCCTAAAGAAAGGGGTGTTGCCCGGTGGCCTGGCCAGAGACCAGTCCGGGTAGGCCCGGGGGATGGGGGTTATATAGGACGGGCTCATTTCAGCCAAAATAGGAACCGGCCCGGTTCAGACCTTTTTTTCAATCTTTTTTTGTTTTTCCCGGGTTGAGTTGGGTGTTTGGGGGGGGGGGGGGTTGGGGGTGGTGGGGGAGGGTCAGGGGTTAATTAGAAATGCAAAAAAAAAAAAAACGGCCCGGACCCAGTGGAAAATCGGCCAAGACCCGGTGGATAACCGGGCCAGTTCCGGGCCTCAACTTTCCCCAAAAAAGCCCATCAGGCCCGGCCCGTGCATGCCTAGGTGTTGGCTTCTCCCGTAAAATAAGAAAACACCCAGCTAAGTTTTCCCTTGGAAAAACAATAATTATACTTCGTATGTACTTATACTACTCCCTCCGGTTCTTTTTAAACTTCAGTGTTTGACTTCACAGTTATTAAGAAAATAAAGTTGACTTTACTGTAGAATACACTGTTGAGACACTGTTTGGCACTGTTTGGCACTGTTGAGACACTGTTTGGCACTGTTGAGACACTGTTTAACACTGTTTTGATGTAGATTTCTTTGCCAAATAAGGAAATAAGGAAGTGTGAAGTTTATTTTGGACCGTCCCAAAAAGGGAAGTGTGAAGTTTATTTAGAACCGGAGGGAGTACTAGATAGTAGATAGGTTCAAGACTCCGAGAGAATTGAATACAAAACATATGGTTGTACAAATTCCGTGACATAATTGTGTGGAAGGAAAGTCAATTATAAAAAGTGGGATGAACATCTGGTAGAAGCATAGTATACCAGAAATGCTCGTATCATTAGACAATAATTTTAAGTGGAAAATGATGGATTACAGCAATTAATGTAAAAACTATGTTATTCAGTACTTGTGATTCCTTGATCTTGAAACAGAGCAAAACTTTTCACAAACCCAACTGACCAAGATGTAATTCTTTAGCAGATTCAATCAGCGTGTTCGCGGAAGCGTATAATTTTCGTGATGAAAGGCCTCTCCTTTTGATAGCTGATCATAAAATTTATCATAGATAGAATTAGTCCATTAATAGAAGGGCACATTAAGTAAAATCTTTGTGCCCGTTTGCAAACACACACATATATACACATACATATAGATGCACATATACAGTCCAGATTTAAAAAGAACGGGTGTCCCATATAAAGTGGGAACGAATACACTTCTGTATCTAGCACAATACTCACTTTCCACTTTTGTTCATATAGCACATTACTCACTTTTCAATCTTTATCATATATAGCACACTACTGCATTCAGGAAGTGTACGTATTGCAATGAAGAAAAACTTTTTGAGAAATGTGACATCATTTTTAACTTAATGCATTTTTGACACATTTGAGCCATTATATCATAAATCTGATGAACCAAAGTTATTCTTATCTCTAATGAGGATGACCCTTTTTATTTGATCCAAAATCTACATGCACATACATAATACGGAGTACATGTTATAATATACACACAGACACATATGCATATAGATACACATAGATAGAGTCCAGTTTTAAGAAAACGGGTGTTCTCATGAAAAGTGCTAACAAATCCACTTTTAATTGTATCTAGCACACTACACACTACACACTTTTAATCATATATAGCACACTACTCACTTTCCACTTTTGATTATATATAGCACACTACTGCATTCAGGAAGAGTACTTTTTGCAACGAAGAAAATTTTTAAATTATTTTGAGAAATGTAACAGCATTTGTAATTTAACTTAATGCATTTTTGACATTTTTGAGCCATTATATCATAAATCTGATGCACCAATTTTATTCTTATCTCTAATGAGAATGACACTTTTCAATTGATCCAAAATGTAAATGTACATACATAGTACATATTTTAATATACACACACAAACAGACACATATATGCACACAGAATACATATATATATATATATGATTTAGGATCATATACAAACTAATCCTAATTTACAAAGTGCAAATTAATCCTGACCGTCCATATGAATGAGATAAGTGGTATGTAGTGGATGGGATTTATAAAAATCCCCACTAATACGGTTGAAGAGGATTCCGTATGTAGTGGATGGGATTTAAAAAAAGTCCTCCACTAATACGGCTGATTTTTAGGGTTGTAGACAATCTTGACTTTAGATTTTGTAAAATTGGAGGGGTGAGATGATTTTGCATTTTGTATGGGAAGCATACTTTGTATCTGATCTTAACCCTATATATATATATATATATATATACACACACACACACACACACAAATATTTACAAATTTATGCATGCATACACACACACACCCAAACATACATGCATGATGTGTATGTATACTCTTTCCCCAAAGATCTAGACTCAAACAGAAGAATTCACTGACATCCGATAAGAGAAAAAATGCATAAAAAGATACTCACATAACGAAAGCGGCCACAAGAAAACAGAATAAACCAAATGAGAAGTGAATGGTAAAGGTGGCCGAGAAGCTGTCTCGGTTAAGGTACATCCTTTCAACTATGAAGGTGGCTACTCCTGATAGCAACACAAATTCATAACCTCCAGGCATGCAAGCTCTAAACGCAAAGGATGATGATTCCTGTAACAATTCTAAAATGTCAAAGAAATAATCAAAACTACTACTATTATTTGTACGCATTAATAATATCAGAGCTATGCTACCTTGAAATACTCTTTGATGAAAACTGCCGAGTAAACTATCCTGAGGATCATATCTATTGCAGTCAAAGAAGGCAAAAAGCATAGACTATATGGACCGTCAATTAATCAACACATAACTTTTCAAATTTGAATAACCTCAATTAGAGAAATTTTGAAAAGGATACTCAGGGAGTTTGCCAAAATCAATCCAATTGCGCCTGCTGATCTGATAAGCAAGACGTTCGCGATCACATATATCAATGAGAAAACAAGCAATGAACCATTTGACCGTTTAAGTTTTTCCTTTGTTGCAACTGCCTGTAGAAATGCTTCAGACGTCCCTAATTGAAAATGTGATATCTTATATTTCCAAACAAGCAAAGAAGACATTTTTTTCTTGGAGACAATCAACATTACGATGTAGCATAAAATTCGGCAAAAGCCAAATTCAGGATATCTTAACTCACAAACAAAATACACCCAAGTTACATTTGCAAAAATTTACCATTCATGGCCAAAACTATCACATAAAGGCAATAGCATTGGAGTACTTTGGTAGCTTCTCCATCGCTCCATTTTCTACCATACAGCAATCTGATGAGGGAGTACGAATAGCTTGGACCAAACGCGATAACAACTAGACCTGTCCATCAAAATGATAAGCTTTAGGAGAGAAGGAAAGGAAAAGATGCATTTGCTAGCTAAAAAACCGCAACATCAAGGGACTAATACTACAATTCAAAGTCCATAATTGGACCTTATTATGGAATATTTCTTACTGCATGGAAGAACATTAAACTGAATTGCTCAAAGTACTACGGGGTATAAGATATTCTGTCAGTCCAAAAAGCCGGTTCTTAAGGTCAGCAAAAAAAATTGAACAAAATTTTTGTAAAGCTAAATTAGCAAGCAGTTATATAGTCAATGACTCAAAATAATCCTGGAAAAATGTTTGTGGTATAATTGACCATTAAAAAGCTGTACATTATCAAACATAACCGATTAATTTGTAAAATACCAATAAGCAAAACAAGCTTCAGTGCATCTGTCAGACTCCTTCCCAATTTCTCCTTTTTCCGTTCTTGATCTCCTGCAGGTGCACAACTCTTTTGTGATGAATGAATTCGCTCTAAATCTAAGATGAGAATAACTATTGGACCACATCAATTCCTAGATTGAAAACTTATGTCCCTTTACTTGAACACATCTAGGAGGATAAGTTTTCTAATCCTTATTTATTAAAGACTTAAAGATTTTAAAAATACTCCATCTGTCCCATTTGTAGGATTCACTTTCCTTTTTGGGTTTTCCCAAAAATATGAACACTTTCTTAAATTGGACTCCACTAACTTTTTATGTTCCCACTTTATGCCTTTATGTATCATTTCACCCTTTACTTTTTGTGGATCCATTTGTCTCTTTCTTAAAAAAGCACCAAACCCGCATGCATCTTACATTATGGAACAGAGGTAGTATTGTTTTATTTGTTATCTAGTGTTAAATTAATTGAAATTTTGTCCATGGACATTTTTATAATATGGAACCAAGCTAAATTCACTTGGATTCCTTTGTTGCTAAAACTTGGAGGGACCTTGATATGATGTGACTCGTCCTAAAGCAACACGGACCGAAAAGAGCAGAGTATTGCAGAAAGAGTCTTCCTATTTTTGTTGTTCTTGTGCATATTATTGTTGTTATTATCCTAAGATTATTATTATTAGAATATTAGGATGTTTTACTTCGACTGAATTTTTAAGCCCGGTCTGGTCTGAACTGGTCTAGTAGATGTCTGGTCTATGTGTCTTTACAATTGTCAAAGTCTGGTCTGGTTTAGGACTGAAACCAGTCCAAGTAAAAACACCCTTAGTTTCGATTTCCTAATATTGTTATTTGTAATTGTTTCCTATTAGATATTGATATTCTAATTTTGTAATATGTTCCTTATAGAAATATTCCAACAGGTTAGTATACTCCATTTAGTTGCTCTTCAAGATTTTTGAGTAGTAAAAAAAGGAGGTTTCTTTCATTAATAACATCATATAATTTCTAGCTTAGTTACACTGACAAAGTTGAGTCTCTCGACGAGTCCACCATATCAGGACCTTGCTCAAAGCATTCCAGTTCCTTTAGATTAATAGCATCTATATTCCTGTGTGATGGGTTATTTGTAAAATATAATCAAACAATTCATAGTTTGATCACCTGTAAGAAGTGATCTACTCCCTCCATCCCACTACCAATGGGACAAGAGGGAGTGACACGCAAACCAATAAAAAATGGTTTATATGGTTGATAGTGAATTGATAAAATAAGAATAAAGTAAGAATGATTTAGACCCACACAAACTTTACCAAATTTGGTATGAGACAATCTTAGTGGGAAGTACCAAAATGGTAAAATGGGACAATCTTAGCGGGGACGGAGGGAGTAATACTTTGGGTTGTTCCAGTCAGTGACTACAATGCTACATATAAAGTACTACTACCTCCGTCCCCCTAAAATTGTGACAGACGGAAAAGGAAAAATGGGACAATTATAATGGAACGGAGGGAGTATTATTTATAACTAGACAACAAAATCATTCTATTACATATTTTAAGGAAATAAACTTTTTAGGACATGAAAATTAACTTTTTAGGATGCGACGTAAGTGAAAAATATACCTACATATACATGTACATAAGGATGTGATAAAAACCTGATGCAGACCTTGCAAACGTTGCATATGAGCTTTCTTCAAAGGGAAGAAAAATCAGCCTCACCACTAGGCTCCCTGAAAAAGCAATATGTTATCTCTAGAGCACTGATTATACAGTGCAAGGGAGATTAAAAAAGATACACACGTGCATGCATAGTCTACATCAAACATCAGAAACTATACAAGGGTGGAGAGGGGGGAAAGGAATAAGTGAACAAAAGAAAACCCCCACCAAGTACATGGCCCAGGAATGATTTACCTAGTTTGTCTACAAGTCCATATACTGCTTGGTTATATGGTGTATCAAACCATACAAGGACCATCTTTTCACCTTCCTGGAGAATCAGCTTCTGAACGGATTGAAGATTAAGTATCATGCACATGTTCACAAGCCGTTGATCATAGCTTATTGTATTTCCCATCCTGCAACAACAACATTATCAGTACAATGAGAACTAAAAGAACTAGTCTCTTAATCTATTGAAGAACCCTATTCAACTCAAATTAGGAAGCTACATTAAAGTAATTTTTCAGAAAATGCCGGGCACACGTAAATACACACATGATCCGTGTAAGTGCACTAAGACCCATGGTTCTATTGGAAATATTATCTGAATGACATCTTTTTAGGATCTATAGGACAAATGGTTGACCAAAAACTGAAGTGCCTTGTGACTGGATAAAATACATAGAAAGGGGTTCAGAGAACTACCCATGTTTAGAAAAGCTAAAATGTGCGTTGAGGTGTTGTGAGCCTCGTCACAACGTACGATCATCAATCAAAGTGTAAGCCTCACCATATAAGATCATACCAATAGAAATTCAAACGCGAAAAGTATAAATACGTTATTTTGTAACTTCACATTTTGTATACAATAAATACTTATGTATAACTACTTCATCTTCCAATATCTTGGCACTCACTGTTTCATTATACATATCTAACAAGAATAAAAGATGGAAGTACTGTGGGCTATGGCAAATGAATTTTATCACAAGCACCTACTATAGACAATACTGATCTGGATGGCATCTATTGGAAACCAGCAGCAACATCTCTAAAAATAGTACACAGACACTTCTAAAAACAAGGGAATGGGAATTATGTGCATGGGACATGACGAAAACATTTCCCCTTTTTACTCATTATCTCCTATAATAGGAACATGGCAGGGACAATGCAGTGATGCAGCAAAGATTTTTTATTGATAGTCTGGAATAACTCCAAAATCCAAATATTGGACAGAAGTGTAAGAAAATATAGATTTATCGTTCCCGTATTTATAATCAGTGACTTCAACTCTTATTGATAGTCTGCATCTCTTATTATGAATAAACAGTGACTTCAACTCTACAGATATATTACAGCATTATTATTATTAACAATTATTATTTTGCTTAATACTCAACCGTGCACACATCACATCTTTGAACTTCATAGAGTTCAGAGAGCTATTAAACTACCAAGACTTCATGTGATGAATTGTTATCTAAGTAATCTAACAGGAGTCATTCACTGATAAGTGAACCTTCAACCGCGTTTGAATTCCATTCTTCATCATCATTATCATTACCCCAGTGCCGCAAAGGCTCCCACCTACGGTAGGGTAAGGGGGGTCGGATGTACGCAGTCTTACCCCTGTACTGAAGCACAGAGAGAGAGAGAGACTGTTAATGGATGACCCATAATGAAAATCGCGTCCAAAATTGCATAGATGTTGCTTCATAACCAAAAAGCGCAGACAGTTTAGTGAGCCATTTTTCTTTATTCCATCATATTTTCAAGCCAGAAAATAGTGAATCTTTGGCTCCATTGCAAATGATGGAAAGCGTGTTTGAATTCCTTTATGAAACAAAATCCCCCCCCCCCCCCTCCCCGCTTATATGTAGAAAGAATGTACAGCTGAAGATGATTGGAAAAATCGAAATCACTACCTGAATGGAAATAGAACACGAGTTGTATATAATTGCCACAGAAAAAAGTAAGCCCAGTAGCCTATGAAAATAGATGCTCCATACGCAACCTGTGACATTGAAAATACAATTGCTTTCTCCTGCAATTCATGTCATACGTGACTCATCAATTATCAGCAGGTGCAGTTAAACGGACTTGGAGACTACACAAACAGATAAATTCAGCAATACAATGGCCATTGGCCAAGCAAAACATGAATATAAATTTACAAGATATAAGACAGGTAAAAAGAAACCAGTCAGAATACAAGTGTGGTAACTGTTCTCTAGATCAAGATATGAGCACGTTATCATTACATATACCAAACAAAACAAAACATACCCAGTATGCCCCAGTTGAAAGTAAGGTCAAGGGAGGGTGACAAGTACATAGATCTTACCTCTAACCCTAGGAGATACTTAAGAGATTGAAGTATTATGTAGAAGGAAAGTTGCATTGAATTTATTATGAAGTGGAAAGTTGCATTGAAGTATTATGTAGTGGTAAGGAAGCTGAAATCTATGAAGAAATCCCAAATTTTCAGGTTAGGATGCATAAAGTTGTGAAATACATGGTTTGGCCTTTAGACAGCAAAGTTATCATACAAACAACTACAAGATGAACATCAAGTAGCGGAACTGTGAAAGGCAATATTTCTAAGAGAAGAAATTGAATCAGCCTTCGGACTTGACAGTTAAGATCTTAACTTGAAGCTTTACAAATATGGATGCAGTTACCACAGCCCTAGGGAATATGGTAATGAGGGGGAAATATTCTTCATAATTTTCAAGAACAAACTAAATATAAAGGGTAAGCTCTTTCTTTTTAGTCATTTAGTGACCCCAACATCAAATAACTCATCAAATATCCCCTTGATTCATTCTTCAGCGAAACTAATGCCTTTCTCCAACAGTAAGTTAACATTCTCTCCATCACTCGGGATTGCTTACTCTGTGCCCAAGGCATGACAGTGTAGCAAATAAAGATACCAGGGGCATCCAGCCGAAGACACTCATGGGTCTGGCTCAGTCTCCGTCCCAACCAACACAGGTCGGGCCACTTTAGTGCCGATCAAACACTATCTCCTTGGTTTTCCCACTATCAGACCAAATGCAGAGGGGTCAAGTTGCGCTTCAATTGGCCCTTCCACCTAACAGCCACATCCCCAACGTTTTTCATCTCTCGGTTATTTTGCACTTATCAAATTCAACGCCAAGGGGGTTAAGTTGTGTATCAATGTCCCTCCCACTGCAACCGCATTCACAATGACTTCCATGTCACATTGCCGCAGGAATTCTGAGGGAACGGCCTGCCAGTTCACTTCCACTGCCTCCGCTCTGGAATCTCTTCAAGGCTTCAACAACCTCACCCCATTCTTGGTTACCAATTACATCATGGAGCTAAAGAAGCACTAGTTAGACACCAATATCTATCCTTCAATCTTGAGGGTAAACTTGCTAGCAAGGAGGGGTGCATTGAACTCTTAACTATTAAGTGTTTCAGATTGCTTGGTTTGAAGTTTTGCACATTCAAATCTTGATTGTGGATTATTGTTTTGCTTTATAATAAGGCTCATGAGCATGCTTTTAAAAGGCAGGCGAGGCTTATGCCTCTGCGGCACTGAGGCACTGAGTAATAGGGACCTGGACTTATGGAAAGAGAATTAATAGATATAATACTGGATATTTTAATGAGTAAAAAGGAAGTGGGCTGGGCCAAGTAACTAGTTAGATTGAGGGGAAGCCTCATTAGAAAATAAAAAACAGAAGGAATAGAAAAGGGAGAGGGCTGGGCTAGAATTCATTTGAAATTGGGCTTGGGAGAGGGAGGCTGCTTGAAGTGTCTCATTGTTTCTTTTCTTTCTTATTACGCTAGACAATAGCTTCCTTGTACGCTTGTTTCCTGAAGTAGCTTAATGAATCCTGAGATTCTCTACTGATTATACGTATTGTTTCTACTGTAAGAATAGGTTCCTATCATTGGTATCAGAACATTGACGATCGCTGGAGAAAGTAAGTTTTACACGTGCGCAGATGGAGAATAACATTGGAAGTGTAGAACTCCATTTCACGAAGATGAGAACGATGCTGGATGAGATGTGCAACCATCTGCTGCAACAACGTCATCGACGAAGAGGGGGGTCAAGGACCGTGCGATGTTTCCGGAATTCTGAAAGCAAGGCTCCCCGCCAACGCAAACAGCTTCTCCTAATTCGCCAGCTTCGCCGCAAGCAGAAGTCCCCAGTTCATAGTCACTAACCACTCCGCAGGTTTCGCCGCGAGCAACTTGTAGCAGTTCGCCGGTGTCATCGATCCGTAGAAGAATTGTACCAGTCGATGCCAAACATCCACTGACGTCGACTCACATAGTCCTGACGGATCGATTGTGCTTCAGGACTATGTCAGTCTAACCAGATAGGACTATGTGAGTCTATAGATGTTCTAGCCCAATGTGATATGTAGAGGTTCCTTATTTATGGTAGTCTAGAAGAAACAAATTCAGTTATTTTTGTGTTTGTTAAGCCCCAAACTGAAAGAGAAAATATAAACTATTTACCACTGAATCAAAATCTTAACATCAAGCCAATAGATCATCGATTGCATTCTTCTACATAGTGCTTGTTGTTCGAATTAAATGAGACATTGAAGGAGACTGGAGGTGGTCTGTTTCAAATATCTTCTCCCCAGGATTTTTGCTATTGATTGCTATGTCCTGTTTCTTTTTGGTGTGTGCGGCTGATAAAAATGGCAGTTTTTTGAAGAAGAGAAGAAACTACCAAAAAGGAAGGTGCTTGGATTTGTAGATTTGCTAAGTGGGGTTAACTTTACTGGATGGGCCTAGTATGGGTTAGATCACATTTCAAGTGGTTTTAACACATTTTTAATTTATTAATCAAACTTTTATTTTTAATTTTTCTTTTCTTGTCACTAATTTTAGAACTTTTTAATTACTTTTAGAAAAAGTTCCGATTCATGATTGCGTGTTTTATTTAATTCACCAGTTCGATTAAAATTTACGATTTAGACATCCTTGGTGTCCACATTACGAAATACGAAAATTAATTCATCTAGGTCTTATTACTCTTATCATACTCACACGGGACCCACATAGGTTTATTACCATACTGATACACTTAATACCAGCATAGGCCCCGTAAGGAAACCACAAAACACATCTAGCATTACTACTTACCGAGCTTGGTTGCTTCAGGATGAGAGCATATGTTACTATACAACGTGAAAGAGTGGCAGCAGTTTCAACAATCAGCCGCAATTTGAGAAGAGCCAATTTTTGGGCCAAAATAAAAAATGGTTCTGCCAATAGCTCAAGAATGCATGCAAAACCTGCATGTGATTTTTTACATATTAAAACACAATTCACAACTATTGAACAAAAAATTGATGGAAGAAAACTTAATTACAGAGTATATACTAAACAACCATTCTCTTTTCTCTACCAGAAAATATGATCAGAAGGTAAAGAGCATGCATGCAAACCCATAGTCAACAATCCAGTCCCCACAATCAATTATTAATGAATAAGGTCAGGTGATTATAGTAAAAACCTTTGAACAATAATACAACACAACAGATGACACAGACAACAATTAAATGGCAACATCAATAAAATAAAAGGGACCAAAAAAATTTAGTTTGCCTTTTGGCCTCTTAGTGCCGTTAAAACTTTGTTAGGCATATGGTGCAAAGGCCTAGTCATTACTTTAAGAAAGTGTACAAGAGGAGAAATAAAAGGGCTGGGGTCAATTAATGAATCACTTTATCTATTTTAGTCCCTGCATGGACCTATTACTATATATAGCAAGGGGGTAACTAAATAAGGATAGGCTGTATTTTGATTTGGGTGTTGCCTTGGAGAGTGGGCATATCTAACAGTCCCGGTTGCCTTACGTTGAGATATTTTCTTATCAATAAACTTCATCTTCCCTATTTTCTTATCAGATCCATAGTGCTTGTTTACTGTTTTCACTTGGATTATTGCCAGATTCCTAACAAAGTTGAGCTGTCACTCCCGCAATATTTATTTTAGTTTTTCCCCAAAAATGCCTTCCGAATTCAGAATTACCTTTATCAACTTTGTCCCATTCTAACAATCTACAACCCTTAAGACATAGCTTGTGTGTTAATGCGCTAGGATAATTAATTTCGTGAATCATGTGATAGTGACATAGTGTTATTAGCTTCTTACCATTAATCAAGATAGCTCGTCCATAAGGACTGGAATAACCCAGATCTTGCCACCAGAATACAATCAAACAAGCAAAAAATGTGACCAGTACCCCTAATGGGAAGGTCATCCAGGCGACTTTCAAAAGCCTAGCTTCAGTTTCTCCTGCTGCTGAAGCACCATCCCTGCTAAATCAAATTTTCAGATTCATCATCATCATCATTTTCATTTACCCCAGTGCCGCAAAGGCTCCCACCTACGGTGGGGTGGGGGGGGGTCGGATGTACGCAGTCTTACCCCTGTACTAAAGCAGGGAGAGACTGTTTCCGGATGACCCATAGTGAAAATCGCGTCCAAAATTGCATGGACTGACTGCTGTTTCATAGCAAAGAAGCGCAGACAGTTTAGTGAGCCATTTTGCTTTATTCCATCATATTCTCAAGCCAAAAAATAATGAATCTTTGGCTCCATTGCAAATGATGGAAATTAAATCAAATTTTCAGATTACTTTAAAAAAACTGTACGAAGATGCAAAATTAACATTCATGTGTGCTTGATTTCAGTACATTCATCATCACCGCCTTAATATAAACAATGTTGGGTACTTGGGTCAGCGGCATGAAAGTGATGTCATATAATTCTTAAAACTATTCAATGCTAAAATGTTTGTGCTAAGGCAAAAGCATAGTGGCAACGTTTTACGCCTGATTCGTTAATATTATGGAAGGAATAATGTAAGAAATAATGAAATATTCAGAACCATCATCGATCATTGATAAAAGTCACTATTTACAGAGAAAGTATCATGAGACAGTTTGGGTTGAGATCGTTGATATAGTCATGTCTCATTGCAAAAATGTAATGTCAACATTTACATCTAATGCACCAGAGCACTAAGCAAAAAATTACCTTATATGAAACAAAATGAAAGGAGCTTTATGTATCCAGATATGCAGTCTATGCCATCTATATGAAAAATAATGAGAAAGAATCTTCAGGGTGCTATGACCATGTTCCATTAAAATTGCATCATTACATATCAACAATTAAAAGGAAGTAAATCACTCAGGCATACTGAAGGCAACCAACTGGGTGAGACAAGAATTGGGGGATCAACAAAATATGCATATTGAAGGCAATAACAATGCTCATTAACCTAATTGAAAATACCATGTGATATCTTCCCTCATGCACGCTCGCCTGAATCCCTCTCTACTCAAAAACAATATGCATGTCACAAACAGATGGAATTGTACAGCACAAACCTGCATAGTGAAAAAAAAAACTTTACATGGTACTTCAAGATACAAAAAAACAAGTAGCATTCACAGAAAAATAATAATTCTTCAAAAAGATTTGGGATACATTGAAACTAGAGTACTAGACACTGTTAAATCACATTCTTATTTGCCACACATTCATTGGGTAATGAAAAAATAGTTATGTGATCATCAACCAAACAGACGTGTGCCACATAAAAATGTCTATCAATAATGCATCTTTTTCATTTCCGCAAAATGACTCACGATGCTAACATACATATCCACTTCTACAGTGACAGAAATAAAAGGATCACTTGTATAAAATCATATGAATTAAAATGCATAATTTATATATAGTGAGGCTCCAAGACTCCAACTGTGCTCTTGATAGTTGATATCTTTGCAAATGCCCGTGTTAAATTTTGAAAGGGCCTGAATAAGTCCAGTGAAACCATTCTCAACCAATTTCAAGAAGACACGTGAATGTTCAAGATACCATTTTTATAGTAACTCGTGATGGACCTACATGTGTTTTTCTTTGAGTTCTGATTCAGCCAAACCATCACATTTAATTGATTCCAAACAAAGCATAAACCGATCCATGGGGACCCAATCACCCAATACTAGCTCTTTGCATCTGGAATCCATTGAATTCAAGAAATTGTTTCTAAATTCTCAATTGATGAAAAAAAATGTTTTCCATCAGCATGCTTCCATCATTTCTCATAAAGTTGATTATAAATTCTCAATCGCCAAGAAGAACAAATTCTTTTTCCTCTATACTACAATAACTTTTTTACATTGTCTCCCCCAAAACGAGGTTACTAAACCATAAGGAATTAGTGAAACTAATTATAAAAGCAATAGTTGGAGTTCAAAAAACTGTAATTTACCGCATAATCTTCTTCTGAGAGATGTCTAACAATCCAGGAATTGAATACGAACGGGATTCCCCTTGACAGAAATTGTGTGGCTGAAAATGAAGATCAGTATTATACATTTATACAGGTATGTATATAATACTGGACCACACAAGGAGGACATTCAACTTAATATTTAAATTGACAAACCTAGTAAGTATTTGAAAGTGTGGTGCAAACTCGAATCAACAGCTGTGTTTGGCATTTCTCTTTGAAAAGACTTGTTTTCTTTCCCTGCATCAGCATGGTAAGTGCATGGTTTTAAAAGGCGAAACACACCTACGCCTCAGAGGCGTAAAAGCGCAAAGGCGCTAACAAATCGCATGTAAGGCTTGAGCATCACCTTCCACTAACAAGGCTTACACCTTTTTTTTGCTGAGGCGGTGATGCGATCCCAGTGCGCAAGGCGTAATTGAGGCGTACGCATTTTACTAAAGGCAACTTGGGCTCTTTTTTTTGAACTAATTGGGGGCCTCGATTTAAAAATTAAAGAAAAAAACCTACACGTTTATCTCTTAGGATAAACATCCCTAGGTAACTATTTAATTACCTTCCGCACTACTATGATATTAAGAAACGACTTGAAAAACTCTCTCAGTTGAAGGCTTGAAGTGAGTACGTAGACTTCGATCTTTCTGCTTCCGTTTCAGGTATTATTAAGTAATTAAAACATATTAAAATACCCAACGACCACTTGTATAAAATATATTCCACCGTGTACAACCTACTTCTATAGTTTCTTGTTGTATTTATTGTTTAAGTTAATTTTTTTAACTTTTTAATTATTTAAAAGTTCAGCCAGCAAACTATAAAATATTCCACTGCCCCACTACTTCTTAGTTTGTTTTTATCGTCTACTTCTTAGTTGTTATGCACCTATGCTATAAAGTATTATGGTTGTCATTCAATATTATTATTTTATTAATTTATTACTGTACTATTGGCCTACAGTTTAAACTTTGAAGTGATCATAAAACTATCATATAGCTTATTTAATTGTTAAATATTACTACGTACGTATTTTACTAGTTTACTACTTTACTTGGATCAAGAACTACAATTTAAATTTAATCAGAAATATTATAATTAACTCCATTACAGTTTGGTTATATGACTTATATCTTCTTTATTAAAGTTGATTATTAATTAATTGATTATTTTGTGTTACTAGTTTATTTAAATTTATGTAAACAAATCATTTTATTTATAGTTTATTTAAATTCATGTAAACAAATCATTTCAATTTTATGTTATTCTGACTTGGATGTTTTATAGTTATGTTATTTTTACTTGATTTTGTTTAGATGGGATATTGTTTTAAACATTTAAGCAATTAATTTTGAGGCTTACGCCTCGTTACGCCTCGAGGCTTACGCCTCGTGAGGCTACCAGCAAACGCCTCGAGGCCCGATTTCGCCTTTCAAAACCTTGGGTAAGTGTTGTTGATAAGGACAGAAAATAACAATCAACGGTAGCAACCGTTGCCTAAAGCATATAGCTTAAACACACAAATTCTTATTGAAAAGCATAGTTTGAATAACCCTCTTAAGGGGTATAAATAGACTACATGTCCTAATTAAGGTAAAACTCCTAAACAACTCATACTAGGAAATAAACTCAATTTAGGAAACATACTAAAAATTAATAACTAATTTAATTAAGACCATAATAATTCAGCCACTAAGCTGGTCGCCCCCAGCCCACGGATGTGGGCCCATCCCGTCCACGCCGCCGGTAAACAATCCAGGGCCTAAGGCCCTGATCTTCCTCGATCGCTGGCTCCTCAGGAGCGATCCGCTGCTCTGTATCAACTTCATCCTCCCTCGGAAGAACCTTGTCCTCAAGGTTGAAGTCTGGAAATTGGCCCCGAAATCTTGCTTTATCCATCCATGTAGCATCATCAGTTGACTGCCCTGCCCATTTGACTAATAGCTCTTCTTCCTTGTCATTTTTCTTTCGTGTTGCCAGAATCTCTTCAGGCTCAAAAATTGGCCCAACTGGTAACTCTAAACTTTCTGGTAAGTTACTTTCAACCGGATGATCTCCAACTACCCTTCTCAACTGAGAAGTATGAAATACTGGGTGAATACGACTAGTTGGCGGTAGTGCAAGACGATAAGCAGTAGGTCCAATGCGTGCTTCAATTAGAAAAGGTCCATAAAACTTGGCCGAGAGCTTATTATGTGGCTGGCGGAAAAGAGTGGTTTGTCGGTGTGGTCTAACCTTTAAGAATACCTTGTCCCCTACCTGGAAAGTTACGTCTCGGCGATGCTTATTGGCCTGGGTCGCCATGCGTTGTTGTGCAATTTGCAGATTTTCTTTAAGGCGCTTTAACATGACGTCCCGACTTCCCAGTACATCTGCCACGGCTGCCACCTTGCCCTCTCCTGGAAGATATTGCCGAATTGTGGGGGGTGGCCGCCCATAAACCACCTCAAATGGGGATATTCCTGCTGCCGTTTGAAAAGCAGTGTTATACCAATATTCGGCCCACGGTAGCCAACGTATCCACTGCCTTGGTTGTTCGCAAGTAAAACACCGCAAATATGTCTCTAATACTCGATTCAATACCTCCGTTTGGCCATCGGTTTCCGGGTGGTATGCCGAACTAAACTTTAATTGTGTACCCGACAAGGCAAAAATCTCCTTCCAAAAAGCACTCACAAATAGAGAATCTCGGTCACTTACAATTGAGCGAGGAATGCCATGCAATCTAACTATCTCCTGGGCGAATGTTTCTGCCACCGAACGTGCTGTGATAGGGGCCTTGAGTGCAATGAAATGCCCATATTTGGATAGACGGTCTACCACCACCAGAATAGATGTGTGTCCTTTTGATTTTGGTAAACAAGTGATGAAGTCCATGGATATATCTTCCCAAACCAGGTTGGGAATCGGCAGGGGCTGCAGCAGTCCTGCTGGTGATGCGGCCTCGTATTTTACCTTTTGACAGACCAAACATTGAGCGACATAAGCTCGCACCCTACGGAACATTCCTCTCCATGTTACATTCATGGCCAGTCTTCGGTAGGTCCGATAAGCTCCTGCGTGGCCTCCCGTCGGCGTGTCATGGAATTCTTTTAAAAGGAGAGGAATCCATTTTGAGTCTGAAGCCAGCACCAACCGTCCTTCGAAGATCAGCCTTCGTCCTTTTAATTCATAGCCCGGCATACTATTCGGATCGGCCTCCACTGCCTGTATAATGTCCCGCAAGTTGGTATCATTCCGTTGCTCCTCCTCTATGTCAGCCAATCCTATCCATTCTGGTATGCTAATTGCTGCCAATTCTGCCTCTTCGCCTCTTCTAGACAAAGCATCCGCAGCCGCATTTGAAATTCCCGTTTTGTACTCGATGTCAAAGTCATAGCCAAGCAGCTTGGCAACCCAAACCTGCTGGGAAGGCGTTGCAATTCGTTGGGTGAGTAGATGCTTAAGGCTTCGATGATCCGTGCGCACGATAAATTTTCTTCCAATTAAATATGGCCTCCAATGTTGCACGGCTAAAGCTAGTCCCATCATCTCCCGCTCGTAGGCTGATTTAGACAGTGTTCTATCAGCCAATGATTTACTAAAATAAGCAATAGGCCTCCGTTCTTGCATAAGTACCGCCCCAACACCGATACCTGATGCATCACATTCTACCACAAATTGGCGGTCAAACTGGGGCATGGCAAGCACTGGTGCCTCGGTCAAGGCCTTCTGAAGTTGGCGGAAGGCTCTCTCGGCCTCTTCCGTCCATTGAAATCGGTGCAAGGCCTCCTTTTTTAAAAGGTTTGTAAGTGGACGTGCAATTAACCCATACTCTCTTACGAACCTTCGGTAATAACCAGTCAACCCCAGAAACCCCCGAATTTCCCGTACAGACTTCGGCCGGGGCCACTCTACCACCGCACTAACTTTGGCAGGATCCATAGCCACCCCTGCCTGAGATATGATGTGTCCCAAATACTCCACACGTGGCTGGCCGAAACTACACTTCTTCCTATTGGCTCTGAACTGATGCGCCTTCAAGATACTTAACACGTGATCCAACTGCTCCCGGTGTTCGGCCCATGTTTTGCTGTATACCAAAATGTCATCGAAAAATACCAGCACGAATTTTCTCAAATAGGGCCGGAACAAATCATTCATGATCGCTTGGAAAGTAGCCGGCGCGTTAGTTAACCCGAATGGCATCACTCGAAATTCATAGTGTCCGGTGTGAGTCCGAAAAGCGGTCTTATGCACATCAGTTTTAGCCACCCTGATTTGGTGATACCCGGAGCGCAAATCAATTTTAGAAAAAACCACAGCTCCTGCCAGCTCATCCAACATATCTTGAATCACCGGAATGGGGTATTTATCTGGTATAGTCGACTTATTTAGTTCCCTGTAATCCACACAAAAGCGCCAGCTGCCATCTTTCTTTTTTACTAACAATACCGGACTGGAGAATGGACTGGTACTGGGCTGAATGATGCCAGCCTGAAGCATCTCATCAACTAATCTCTCGATCTCATCCTTTTGTAAATGTCCGTATCTGTACGGCCGAACCGAAACTGGTTTCGCCCCGGGAACTAACTCGATCCGGTGGTCTCTTGAGCGTTGCGGTGGCAGCCCTTGTAGGTCGCTAAATATTTCTGCGTATGTTCCCAGAATATCCTCCAATGTATCTGCCGTAGCACCCACCATTTTGCTAGCTTCGCGGATGAGGACCACTGCACCAAACTCCTTATCGGTTGTTTTAAGAAGAGAACGTAAGCTCACTGCATTCTTACACATGGAAGGATCCCCTTTTAACTCGACTTGCTTGCCATTAACCTTGAACTGCATGGTTAACTTGTTCCAGTTTGTTCGCACTTCCCCTAGCGTTGCTAACCACGCAACCCCTAGTATGAGGTCCACTCCAGCTAATGGAAATACGAAACAATCTGTTTTGATAGCACATCCCGGCAAGCTTATGGGCAGCTGACGGCATACTCCTTCGGATTCTTGCCTGTGCCCGTCTCCCAATTGTACTCCAAATTTACCAGTCTTGTCCGGTGTGAGGTGCAGTAACGAAACTAATGAGGACGATACAAAATTATGGCTAGCCCCACTATCGATTAGCACTGTGACGGAGCACCCTTTGATGATCCCGCGAAGCCACATTGTCTGGGGACTAAAGATTCCAGCCATGGCATACACCGGAAAGTCACTGTTTTCGCCATCAGGGGGTTCTTCGTAAAGTGGCAGCTCTTCCTTCCCCGTTATTTCGCAATAGTCGTGCTGCTGAAAATCAAATTCTTCGTCCTCCTCTGCAAGCATTACCCTTAATTGTTTAAAAGGGCAATCGTGACCCGGAGTGAACGGCTTCCGGCATTTAAAACATAATCCCTTGGCGCGCAATTCGTCTAGTACCTTTGTGGGCAGTCGGGTAAATCGGGAACGTTCCGTGGTTTGCCCGGAAGAACCGGTAACTGCTGCGGCCCGCGCGTGATGTGGGTCCCATCGGCTGACCCGTGACCCTTGGTATGCTGCCACTGGGATTACGCGAGCTGCTGCTGCTGCCCGTACTCGGGAAAAACCCCGGGTTTGACCTTGGGTAAATACTGGGGCGTGATCCGGAAGAATATTGATTCGCTCCCCCTTTTCCACCATTCTGAATTAATAGCTTATGTTCCACTCCGTGGGCCAATTCCATAGCAGTTTCTAGACAATCTGGACGAAGTAAACGCAGTGAGCACTTTATTTCTTCCTTAAGCCCGTTCATATAGTACCCCATGTAGTGATCGTCGGTCAATCCGGGAACTTGGCTGGCTAGTTGGACAAAAAGAATATTGTAATCTTCCACTGTTCCGTCTTGTTTGACTCCAGAAAGACGTTCAAATCGGTTTCCTTGGTATCGGGAATCAAATCTAGTCACTAGGGCTTGTTTGAAGTCGTCCCAGCATAGATTGGGTTTGCGTGATCTCAGCCACGTCACCCAGTAAAGTGCTCCTCCTTCCATGGCCACCATAGCGGCAGCCACCTTTTTTTCCGGTAGGGTTGCCTGTAACTCAAACTGCTGCTCCACCCGGGCTAACCAACCGATCGGGTCCCCACCATCAAACGTGGGAAGTGGCGTCGGAGTGGAAGTGCGACCTTCCCCGTCGCTATGCGGCACGATCAGCGTGCTGATGTGGGCACCCACCTCGTCGCCGGTCGGTGATTTAGGCGGAATTAACGCCTTTGTTATCGCGGCCAGAGAGGACGCGATCTCCTCCAGTTTCGCCCCGTGTTCTCCGAGTGTTAGGTTCATCGTTTCTAGTTTCGTACCATGATCGGCGAGAGTCTGGTTCGTCCGGATCTGTTCGGCCCCCAAGCGGGCGACCTCTTCTCCTATGCGACTTTGTTCAGTTTCCAATTCTTGCAACCGTTCACTTTGAGATCTTGTCGTCATTGTGGCGGGACGGGATCCGGCAGGTCGGACCAAATTGATAAGGACAGAAAATAACAATCAACGGTAGCAACCGTTGCCTAAAGCATATAGCTTAAACACACAAATTCTTATTGAAAAGCATAGTTTGAATAACCCTCTTAAGGGGTATAAATAGACTACATGTCCTAATTAAGGTAAAACTCCTAAACAACTCATACTAGGAAATAAACTCAATTTAGGAAACATACTAAAAATTAATAACTAATTTAATTAAGACCATAATAATTCAGCCACTAAGCTGGTCGCCCCCAGCCCACGGATGTGGGCCCATCCCGTCCACGCCGCCGGTAAACAATCCAGGGCCTAAGGCCCTGATCTTCCTCGATCGCTGGCTCCTCAGGAGCGATCCGCTGCTCTGTATCAGTTGTTTTGGGTTAAAATATACTATCCTCCGTTCCAAATTAAGTGCAACATAGCCCAATGGTACACAAATTAAGAAAAATCCATAAAGTATTTTGTTCCCTATTCTACCCTTCTGCACGTATACTGATACACGGTGTTTTATCTGGTCTTGAGTCTTGACGGAAGCAAGAAAGGAGATTGAAAAGAAAGAAGAAAATGGAGGAAAGGGATCTCCAGCACAACAGTGGGCTTCAAGTAATATCAATACTCCATAAAGAAAAGTGAAAGGTATTTTTCTACAGCAATCCTAACAAAAGAGGTGTAAAACATGGAATGGACATTACACCATGAGATAACTTCTCCTTTAAACTGTTTAACAAACTCAATAAAAAAGAATAGCAAGCCAACTAGCCTACTTCCCGTTTTAAGTTGTACACAACATGTTAATTCAGACTGCAAATCCTGCCAGCTATATCTCGAGACATGTGTTAGACTAAGACAATACAATCAGTTTTTAAATACTTAAATATGAATGCAAAAAAAAAAAAAAAAAAAACTCAAACAAGCTGCCACAATAAAATAATTGAAATTTGAAAATAAAAAAAACAGCTGGCATTTCTGTGCAAAGCTTACCTATGCTTTACAACTATAATAACTTCTGATTTGTTTCCAATTCTCCTTACAAATCATTCATGACTTATAGTTCATTCTTTTTTATTTATGTAATTTATTCTTTCCAATGTAGTATTTGCAAAACATGTTAAAAATCGTGAAAAATTGTTGATCATCGGGAATGGGAATCACTATCAAGTTATGAACAATGAAGATTTGTGGAATATGTGTATAAGCCTACACTTATTATATGCTTTCTACGCAAAAGTACTCTTTCAAGTTATCAGACTCCTTTTGTTGTTTGTCTCTCATTCACAAATTCTGTTGGAGAAATTAATTCACCAATTGATATGGAACAAAGAAATGCTAAATGGAAATTCACTTGCTCACAAATCAAGAGGGCATGTTGATTTACAAATTTAAGAAGAGAGATGTAATGGTTATCTATTATATTCAGCTCGGACATATATATGGATCATTTTCCATATGATTTCTGTAGAGTACAAGAATGAAAAAAAACATGATTGTGAAATGGTAGAAGATGGGCCATTTGACTGCAAACTCTAAAAACTTGAATTGGGATAAAACTTACCCCTTAGAGCCTTGTGAATAAAAAACAAAAGTGTTTTCAATGTTCATATCTTTAACGCATCTCATTTCGTCTAAAGTTATACATTTACATTCATAATAGACGTACATGGTAATATGCTATTAGTTTAAATTATGCACATAAAGAGTGTTAATAGAAGCTATCTGAAGTTAAAAACTAAGGTTTGTACTTCTTGGAGGACTTTTCTCACACTTTAATTGCAACCAAGAATATTAAATTACCTTTTATATTACGTATCATTTACATAAACTTCTGAATTTATACACAAATGATCACAGTAAAAAGACATTTAAATGTTTGATCACTAACCAAAATCAGTTTTTGTAACTGTAGTTTTGGTTGTAAAACAATAACCATATTTCAATATTGCTAAAATTAAGAGAAAATAGTGATGGAGATATAATTCGCTTGAAACGGAAGAACATATTGCACGATATGAGTGTCACAAATACTTAGCATGTCCTCTGTGATTTAGAGATTTTAGCATAACTAGAGCATTTTTAGGGTAAACACAGTCTTGGATTCAAAATTCGGTTCATTAGGTAATCATCCCGTAATATTTTGAAACCTACGCCTGAATACGAGTTTAGAACTCTATAAGATCTTTCCAATGAGATAGAAAACGCTTTCAACTGAAAGAAATACAGCAATATGATCAGATCAAATTCAACATTGCAAAACCTACCGGGGGTGCTGGTTGCTGGAGAAGAGAATGAAAGTTGCTGCTGGATGAGGAATCAATGACGGAACCAGCTCGTGGATCTTGGAGAGCCACAGAATGGGAAAAGGAATGTCTCTGTCAAATCGGCAAGGCAGGGGGCTTGTTGCGTCCCTGAAATTCCGGTCTCTAACAAGACGAGCGGCGGGAGGAAGTGCAGAGAGGCTGCAGCGCTGGATACTTTGCCGCAGGTCGAATAGACAGCTCCACGCCGTATGAAACTCCGACCAAGTCGATCCCTCTGAATCTATGGCTTAAAAATTCTGATCGGCGGCTTAAGAAAAGGGATAATTGGAAGACGAGCAGGGCTCGGGGGCGGGGAGGGGTATAGGTGCACGGAGAAGTAGATAAGTAAAGAATTGTAGGGGCGAATTGACCGATTTGGAGAGCTCTCCGGCGAAGTGGTGAACCCAGACCGGTGTGAGCTGCAGCAGAGCTCTACTATCTCTTCTTTTTGTTCCTTATTAATTTAGGTATTTGATTTTCTTATTTAATTAGGTGAATGTGTCTACGCAAATTTAAGAAATTCTGAAAGAAGATGATTTATGAAAGAAAAATTATTAATTAAATATCTTATTATTTCAAAAATCAGGCATTCAGCACACAAAATCAAAAAACGAAAAACATGGTCACCAAGTAAACTCTCAATTTTGATTGTATTATGTGAAAATGAATTGTGCTTAAATGTGCATTAAAAAAAATTGAAATGTGAATAGTAAAAGATAAAACTCAAATGTGCGTCTACATCAGGTAAAATTGAAATGTGTAAAATAAAAGGTATAAAAATGACACTGCATCGTACATTATATTCTGCACATTTCAGTTTCACCTAATGCACGATTCATCTTCAAATAATGTCCCTGTGTTATACCCTTTGTGATGCATGTTTCAATTTTATCAAATGCACATTTCACTTTCATCTCATGCATTTAGGGGTAGGCTGTGGGCACGGTCCGGTCCGGTACAATATTTTGCCGAACCCGTACCCGTACCGTTACTATTGAAACGGTTCGGTTCGGTCTTAGACTTAAACCCGTTCGGTACAGTCCGTTTTTAAACGGGACGGTACCATGTCATACCAATACCAAACAATGTCACTTTTTTCAAGTGCTTAAGGAAAAATAAAGTTTAGTCATCCTCCAAAAATCCACACAATTTATCAAATTTCATATTTCATACTAGCTTCGTTCCAAATTGATTTGCAAAGTCAACCTTTTTTTGGTCAAATCATTTCTTTTTATTCACTTGATTAGGATTTCACTTTTTAATTATATTCTAATTTGTCTCTTCAGAAAAAGTACTTCGTATATTCTTATTTGAATTTGCAACTTTAAAGAGATTTTAATGTGGTTTGTAAATATGTAAATTTTAATTATTAAAAATTGTATTAATTATCACTATGTAAGACTTAACATTAACATTGACCAAAAAAGGTTGCCTTTGCAAATCAATTTGGGACAAATGAGGTAATTAATAAATTTCAGATAAACTATAGTAGTACAAATTCAAATAATTAAACTATACTTCGGTCCGGTTCGGTCCGGTACCGATTCTCATTTTATGAGAACCCTTCATGACATTGTTTGGAACCGGTCCGGTCCGGTTCAGGACAAAAAATTTTGAGATCTGTTACAAACCTCGTTTATCGGTCCGGTACCATACTGGTCCGGTTCGATATCATGCCAGTTCGGTATTTTTGCCCACCCCTATGCCCATTCAATTTCACATAACACAATCTAACAGTTCAGGTTCATTTTCGTTTCTTTTCTAAGATCATTTTCTCATTTGAACCGATTCTATATCTTTTCTTTATACAAAATAATAAGCATGAATAAGAGTAGGCCTATTTTAGATATAAAAAATTTGTAGGTGGTATAGTTTAGCTTACTTCGCATGTACTTTGTGCTAATTATTTGTGCATTTTTAAAGTGGGAATAAGGATGTTTTTACTTGGACTGTAATTTGTTGGTCTGGTTTAATAATGTGTGCTATCTTTGTATTTTTATAACTATCCTACTCTGGTCTGGGACAAATTACCGTCTAAGTAAAATCATCCCAACTCTGTTAAGAAACGCAGTTTGTAGCTGACTAACCCTTTTTGCCTTCGTCGTCGGCTCGTCGCTATTGGGAATTGCGGAATTAGAATCGAGACGTACGATGAAGAATCAAATAAAAGGAATCAAAAATTTGAAGTCCCTCTGCCTCTGCTCTTCGCTTCACCTTCCTATTTGCTCTTAGGAGTCTTCACCTGCTCTCGCAGAATCAATCAATCGGCTCTTTGCTTGAAATACAGGTTCCTCAATCGGCACTTCAGCGGTTTAGCCGCCTCCGCTTCACTACTATAAGAACACAAAATCCCCTATCACTCTTCTACACATCATGTTTGTTTGTTAACTCAGCATGAATCTTTAAATAAGAATATAAGATGAATTGAAATATTGAATAATGATTACTGGTTATCCATTCATCTACATTTCGGCTGTTTTAGTATTTCCCTTTTAATATGAAAGACTTATTTATTTATTTATTTATTTATTTATTTATTTATTTATTTACTGATACAGGCAAAAGGAGAAAATCTAATTTAATTGAAATTAGATTATTATCATTCACATTTTAGAACTTCATAATTACTTGATCACATTACCTCATCAGTGTTAGTCTATGTGATTAACTGATTATATATTTTCAAAGTTATTTGATTATTGGTAATTAATCATTTCATTGATAATAGATTATGATTCAGAATTTCAGGGTTTTATTGTTAATTTCATTTTTCAATTTATACTTAAATTTCGGGTTTTAGGGTTTAATCACTAGGTTATTGTTATCCTTCGCATTTAAGCTTCAAACCTGAATTGCTACTGAATTTTGAATCTTTAGCAGTTATATAGTTATGAACTTTGTGATATGTGATATTTTATTCAAAATATCATACAGAGTTGGCATATCTGATGTTACTCCTTGTCCTTCAACCTATTTTATTTTATGCCAGAAGGATCCTCACCGTTGTCGTTTATGAACGAGTTAATGTCATGCATCAAAGTTTATATTCACATCTTCCTTTATATAGCCGATTCATCTATATATACATATTCTAATTAAGATCGTGGATAATCCCTAAAAAGCGAGGCTATCAAGGTTGACCAATAACTCAAAAAGTGTTTTCCTAACAATTTAGGGTTTTCATCTTTTCCTCAACTTTGTTTTACCAGTAGTAGTGAATTGTTTCATTTTTTTATCCCGAAAGGCAAACCACTTGTTTTGTTTCTTCATTTTAATGTTTTTTCACATTTAGGAGTGAATTGAGGGGCTTTGATGATATCTATATTAATCAATTTAATTTAGTTGTAACTAAATGCTTCAATACAACTTTTACTATAATGAGCAGTTAGAAGCCTATTCATCATCTTTTTGTAATGGATCTCAAGAAGAATAAGTGGCTCTAATGTTGTATGTAAACTATTTTATTCGCACCATGCATATTTATCTTTTGTAATGGATCTCAAGATGAAATCTTGTGCTTCTTTTTTTGACACTAATGATAAAACCAGACTTCATTAGCCAGTAGGAATTTGTGACAATGGCAACATTTAACAGCATATGTAACAAATAAAACTTTTATTCATGATCATTATAACGAACTGTTTCTAACACACTTTGATCTTGACTACCACATGTCACACACCCATAATTTACATCAATGAAATCACTGTTTTTAAGGGCAGATCCAGGAATGAGAGGTGGGTGGGCTAAGCAGTAAAAGAACTTGTTACTACATATACAAGGTTTAGCATAGGGTTGTTAGTATGTTACCAAATCGAGCTTTTTTCGAACTATATACTCGAGTTCGAGCTTGATTTCAAATCTAATGTAATCACCCGAGCTAATCGAGCTTCGAACTTGAACACGGACTAGATATGAATAATTATTGAAATCAAGTTCGAACATATTGATGTTTGGTTCGACTCGGACAGTCAAAACATATTGATGTTTGGTTCGACTCGAACATAACCGAGCCTATTGTTCACTTATAAATTATAGAAATAAATTACATTACCTCGGTTCTTTTTTAGTTGCAACATTGGTAAATTTCACAGTATTCAAATACACTACTTTGACTTTTTTTAATTTCTTAATGTATTATAATTATATTTTTGAAAAGTGTTTGATGAATTCCTCTCGTTTTAAAATTTTAAATTTGATATGTGGAATAAAAAATAACTTTTGTACACAAAACTAAAGTATTCCCAATTTCAAAATTCAATCGAAATTTTAAATTCTTTCTTACATGTCCATGACGTGCACTTTGCCGTGGTGTGCAGTCAAAATAATAATCAATACGACACTAATACGTAGTATAGTGTAGTAAGGTTCGTATCCACAGGGAAAGGAACACTTCTCTTTTTATGTAACTAGAAATAAGTAACAAGGGGGGTTTTATGATTGGTTGATGAACTTTAAATTATATTAAAACACAAAGATGAACGAGTTATGTGGTTTAATTAATGAGAAGAAGACTTGGCTTTGCTTTTATCCACTTAATAAAATGTTCGTCGATCCCGGTTATATCTTTAATTATCTTCCTCTCGAATACTCAATCGAGGAGTATATCCAATTCATCGAGGGTAGTTATTAATAACGAGACGCGTTCATTAATAAAACTTACTATCGAGCCAATATAGAACACACGCCGTATATTCACTCGATAGTAGCAATAAAATCAAGACGAAAACGATTGAAATTGATAACCTCAACACAAGCGGTTTATTGGTTTAATCAATATAATTAATTCCCTTTGATTTATTAACCATGAAACACATGCATTAATAATCCAAGTTTACTACCGTGAAACGATCGAACGATTAACAAGCGTATTCGTCAATCGATTCTAGTAATAATTAATATATGAAACAAAACTAGTTGATCCTTTAAGTAATGTTCAAAATATTAATATGAAATATGAATAGGAATTAATTAATACTCAAGGAAGAATATTAAAGAAGATGAATCCTACTATAGTTAATATCAAGATGTTAACTAATTGTCATCTTAGTAACACTTCCTGATATTAACGTAGAGGAAGAAATAACTATTACTACAACTAATGTCAAGATGTTAACTAATTGTCATCTTAGTAACACTCCCCAACATTGATATATAAATAGTATTTAAAGAAAGAATTAATATTCAAGGAAGAAGATTAAAAAGAATAATAACTCACAACTTACAAATTCATTAAGCTTCAAAGTAGCAAAACCAAGATGGAAGAGTTTAGCTCCTCATTTGGAGACTAAACATGATAGAAAATGTAAAGAAAACACTAATCTAAACTGAGCTAAAGAGTATATATGAATTGGTCATTTTATTGTGAAGGAAAAGGGTGTATTTATAGGCTTTTGGGAGCTGCAGGGTCTGGTACCCGATCGGGTATATAGGATACCCTATCGGGTATCTTAGGAAATTGCCCAGAAAGTCACTTTTCTGGGCATACCCGATCGGGTA